AACAGCAAGGCCCGGGCCCACCAAACCTTCTCCCCCGCCCCCCTGCACCGGCAGCGAGTCGTGCGGGCCTGCCGAGCCTTCTCCCGCTCCCCCTGAGCACCAGCGGTGAGGCCTGAGCGGCTCCCAGCTGCTGGACCTGCGCAGGGAATGCTTTTACTTTTGGCGGGATTTAAATATCCCCCGTATAGTTTTTTCAACTTTTTAGATTTTTTTGCACACCTCCAAGTGTGCAGGAAAATCTCCCTGCCCTTCAAGTGCCCCCTCCGTGCGGATTTAGATATCTGCACAGAGGGGGCAACTTGGCTATTAGATATATAGATGTTGGGTTGTTTTTTTTGGTAAAACTGAGTGATGGCTTGTGTTGAAAATTAAAACCAGCCATGCTAAGTCACACCCGACACCTTAACCCACCAGTTTTGGTGTTCCCTCCTTTGTACGCTATCTGTTGGATGGCCTCCAGGAGACTCTCCTTACTTCTGTAGGCATTCAGCTTAAATTCTGTCCGGGGATCGTCACTGAACTGAGCAATTGCTACCTGCAGAGGAAAACTGTATTAATTGACTGTGACCGAGCCCTATGTAAACACCACACCCATTTAGTAGGATGTACAGTGCCACTCTAAACCAGTGCCACTTTTAAAATACAGTCTATTAAAGAAGAGTACACCTCCACTTGACTCCAATTAGCCCTTCCAGGCAACTGACCCCCTCCCACCTACATGTCACATTTGAGGAAATCTTTTTTCAGTGTATCTGAAGCAGTGTGCATCTACATATGCTAAGTCCCTCCGTTTTTGCTTATATCCAGAATTGAACGTTGTTGGTCTCGGAAGTGCCACTGGACTCAACCTTAGTTCTCACGTCTTATTATTTATTTATTTTATTCAATTTATACCCCGCAGACATCAGCCAGACGTTAGCACTTTCCATACCACATTCTGTGGAGACTGAACACACACGTGGGGGCTGGTGGGAGGAGTGGCAGTATTATGGCAAGTTCCACCTTCCATATTGCATTTTCACTTGATTGTGTGCAAAGGAGCAAGCCCTTCCTCTCTCTAGGAGACCAAGACCCCCGCAGAGCTGGCTTTGCTGCCTGCCCCCTCAGGACCTTCCTTGGAGGGAGCTTTCTTGCTCATCCTCACCCATCGGACAGATGTTGTGTTTTCCCCGGAATTCATTCAGCTCCTGGCCTCTTCTTTGCAGCTGCTGGCTCAGTGTCCCTATGATCCTGATGATCTGCCTTTTGTTGTTTTTGTTGTTTTCTAAGGTGGGAAGAACCTCCTTGACAGTGCATTCCACTAATACTTGAGAGCCAGTTTGGTGTAGTGGTTAGGAGCGCGGACTCTAATCTGGGAGAACCGGGTTCAAGCATGATGCATAGACGGCTTCAAGAGGGAATTAGATAAGCATATGGAGCAGAGGTCCATTGGTAGCTATTAGTCACAAAGTATAGATAGGGACTCCAGGGCAAGTGATGCTCTGTCTTCTTGGTGCTTGGGGGGGGGGTGTCAATAGTGGGAGGGCTCCTAGTGTCCTGGCCCCACTGCTGGACCTCCTGATGGCACCTGGTATTTATAGCCACTGTGTGACAGAGAGTTTGACTGGATGGGCCATTGGCCTGATCCAACATTGGCTTCTCTTATGTTCCCCACTCTTCCACTTGCAGCTGCTGGATGACCTTGGGCATGCCGTAGTTCTGTCAGAGCTGTCCTTGAAAGGGCAGTTCTCTCAGAGCTCTCTCAGCCCCACCTACCTCACAAGGTGGGGAGGAGAAGGGAAAGGAGATTGTAAGCCACTTTGAGATTCCTTGGGGTAGTGAAGGGCGGGGTATAAATCCGATCCCTTCCCCCCTTCTACTTCCCCCACCATCTGATGGCACTTCCTCATAAGGTTCACCTCCTGAGAGTTTCAATAACCAGCTCGTGTTCATTCAGCTCCATCTGCAGCTCAGCTGCCTTGGAGGCCAGGCTGCACTGTTCCTGACACAGGCGGTTAAATTCAGCCAGCTCTGCTGTCAGGGCTTAGCAGCCCCTCCCTCACTGGAAGGAGCCACCAGGCCACTTTTGCTCTTGCTGCTCTCCACCATTTCCCCTCCCAGCCTAAGAGAGGAAGAAACACCACTACAGGCATTAAGTGAGCCTCCTCATTCACAGAAATAGAACCGTGTGTGTGTTTGTGTGTGTTAAGTGCCATCAAGTTGTTTCTGATTTATGGCAAACCTGTGAATTAATGACCTCCGAAACATCTTATCCTGGTCAGCCTTGCTCAGGTCTTGCAAACTGAGTGTGGTGGCTTCTTTTGACTAAGTCCATCCATCTCCTTTTGGGTCGTCCTCTTTTCCTGCTGCCTTCAACCTTTCCTAGCAATACTGTCTTTTCCAGTGACTCTTGTTTTCTCATGATGTGGCGAAAGTACAATAGCCTCAGATTAGTCGTTTCAGCTTCTAGAGAGAGTTCAGGCTTGATTCGATCTAGAGAAAGAGAAAAAAAAGGTGGGGGGAGACCTAACCCAAACAAATGAATCAAGGACCTGAAAGGTTAGTTACATATAATGTAAAGAAGTGAGCAGTGACTCACGAAAGCTCGTACCCTGCCATGTATTTTGTTAGTCTTTAAGGTGCTACTGGACTAGGGTTGCCAAGTCCATCTTCCACCCCCAGCAGGGGAATTTGGGGGCGTTCCTGGAGGGGTCAGGGCATCCCCGATGTGATGATGTCATGTTGGGGATGTCCACCCCCCCCCACCTGCCCTTGCGGGTTCCCTGCACTTAAAGGAGCTGGCATTTCCCTTTTAAATGCAGGAGCCGGCGTTTCCCCTTTAAGAGCAGCCGTGTTTCCCTTTTAAGAGTACGAAGCTGGCATTTCCCTGCAAGCTTGCGGAGATCAGGCTTGGGAGGAAACACGGGTTCCACACACTTAAAGGGAGAGAGATGGGTGGCTGTGGGTGTTGGGGGTGGGGCTTCCCCCACCAGCCATCTGGCCGGCGGCGGGTAGACCCCCCCAAAAAAACGGGGAACCCCTGGCAAACTGGGGGGTTTGGCAACCCTAGTTATTTTAGTCTTTGCATAGGATTGCACTGCAAATATGGTACTTATCCTATGGATTCTGCCATTCCTGTTCCTGCATGAGTCAATGCATGTAGGCCTCGGACTGCAAGTGTTAAAAAGGGCTTTTCTCTCCCTGAGGCTCTGGATAACCACAATCAGAGTAGACAAGAATTAGGTAGATAGTCCAATGGTCTGACTCAGTATAAACTAATTTCAATTTCAACCTTTGAATCAAAACAATAGAATGACTCCCACTGTAAACCACTCCCCCTTCTCCTTAATTCCATTAATCCTGCAGGAAGCATGTAGCACATGAAATGTTACTGAGAAGCTGAGATTCCAGCCTTGGGGAATTAAAAACAGTTTAAAAACTGAAATAATCAATAAGATTATTGTTATATAACACCCATTACTATGGAAGCAGCTTACCTTCTTTTGCAGGAGGAATTGTAGGCTGTGGGGTAGTAGTTGGAGGAGTTGGTGGTGGTTCAGTGGGGAATGGTACTAAAGGACAGAGAAAAGAACAACACAGGGTAAGCTTAGCTGCTCCAAACAGGGCTGTGTTCAGGATGCAATTCCAGAAGAACACAGAAAAAGTGCAGAATGCAGTACTGTATGCAGAATTTACCTTAAGGGCCTTCCACGTGGAAGCATGAAATGGTACATTGTTACCATGTGTGCTTTTATATGTATTATCTGAGCTATGATGATGCTGTATGTCTGTAAAATGTCTCTGCATTTCTGCATGTGGGATAAGGGAATTGCTGTGTTTTGAATTGCTTGCTTTGCACCTCATGCCTGCATCTGCATGAGCAAGGCTTGTGCTGCCTATGCTAATGAACACGTGCATACGCGCACCTTCCCGGCGTGCCTTGGGACAGAGAAGACAATTGCCATTAAGCTCAGCTTGGGAACTTGGAAGAACAACAGGTTTCCCACCATTATAGACCTTTGGAATCACAAGTAACCCTCTCTATCTGGTTTGGCATCACAAAGAACAACATCCATTATTGCCTTCATGGACCAGGCATCTTTGCAAATCAAAGGTTCCCATGGGAATACAACTTTGACACCTTGCCTAATTACCTTCAACTAGAAAACTAGCACAGTAGGGAAGAGGGCTGGGCTATATCCTTGATCCCTATGTGCTAGGGTTTTTTTATTTACAAGGGGGGAGCAAGCTTGCGGAGATCAGGCTTGGGAGGAAACACGGGTTCCACACACTTAAAGGGAGAGAGATGGGTGGCTGTGGGTGTTGGGGGTGGGGCTTCCCCCACCAGCCATCTGGCCGGCGGCGGGTAGACCCCCCCAAAAAAACGGGGAACCCCTGGCAAACTGGGGGGTTTGGCAACCCTAGTTATTTTAGTCTTTGCATAGGATTGCACTGCAAATATGGTACTTATCCTATGGATTCTGCCATTCCTGTTCCTGCATGAGTCAATGCATGTAGGCCTCGGACTGCAAGTGTTAAAAAGGGCTTTTCTCTCCCTGAGGCTCTGGATAACCACAATCAGAGTAGACAAGAATTAGGTAGATAGTCCAATGGTCTGACTCACTTTAAACTAATTTCAATTTCAACCTTTGAATCAAAACAATAGAATGACTCCCCCTTCTCCTTAATTCCATTAATCCTGCAGGAAGCATGTAGCACATGAAATGTTATTGAGAAGCTGAGATTCCAGCCTTGGGGAATTAAAAACAGTTTAAAAACTGAAATAATCAATAAGATTATTGTTATATAACACCCATTACTATGGAAGCAGCTTACCTTCTTTTGCAGGAGGAATTGTAGGCTGTGGGGTGGTAGTTGGAGGAGTTGGTGGTGGTTCAGTGGGGAATGGTACTAAAGGACAGAGAAAAGAACAACACAGGGTAAGTTGAGCTGCTCCAAACAGGGTTGTGTTCAGGATGCAATTCCAGAAGAACACAGAAAAAGTGCAAAATGCAGCACCGTATGCAGAATTTACCTTAAGGGCCTTCCACATGGAAGCATGAAATGGCACATCCACTGTGGAAACAACAGCAAGTGAGGTGGAGTCAGGTAGGGAATACCTTCCCACAGCCTGTCCCCACACCACTTGCTCCTGTCCCCACCTCACCATGCTGCCCCTCCCACTTGCAACAATTGTGCCCTCCACCGGCCAGCCCCCCATTCACAGCTGAACCAGGAGAAAAACTGGGGGTCAATGACACACGACATGATGATGTCACCACGTCAAGCAACTCTCTAGGAATTCCCCCGATCTCTATGGTCTTTAGCATAGAGATTGAGGGAATTGCTAGAGAGTCACTTGATGCAGTGTCTTCACCAGGAAGTTATGTCACTGTGTTGCACTCCATTTCACCTCCCCACACCACAACCCCAAAAGCTACTGGAATGTGAAGTGCAGGCCTTGCAAACCTACTACCTATATAACGCCCATCTTCTAAGGGCCACAGGGAAGCATACAACACCTCTGCCGCATAATTTAGGCTGAGAAAGAATGACTGGCCCAAAGTCAGCCATTGAGCTTCATGGTTGAGAGCCAACTTGAAAGTGAAACCAGGTCTTCCTGACCCTCGTCTGACATTGCACCATACTGGTTCTCCACACTAGGTTCTATACTGACTAGAGCTGATACTGTTACGGTAAACGACGAGAGAGTCTTTCAGAAATTAAAATCAGAAAAGAGAGCTCCTAACAGTTCAGTGAACCCCACAGTCAAGAAAGAGTTAACTCACACGTTGTCTCCATGATGCTAACAGCCGGGCCCTCTAATTCTTGCAGCTGTGTATAAACACTGACTTTATACTCAGTACCAGGAATCAGCTCAAAGAAGCAATGCCTTGGGGTCCCGCCACCCAGTAGGACTTCCCTCTTTGTTCCATCTGAAATTAGAAAGAGAACTTCTAGTGTCATTTGCTAGAACAAATGTGACATAATAAAGCAGAGCAAGCACACACGTCCATGGGCCAATTCATGTTACAAAGCCAAGGCAGTCGCCTGATGCGCCTAATCCAGAAATCCCTCACTTGGAATACCAATTCAGTTTGGGATTGCAGCACACAGCACAAGGGTGGTTTACGTTTCCCCCCTTTGCATTGCCTTCCCAATAGTTTCACACAAAAGATGTCATCACATCAAGCAACTCTCTAGGAATTTGTTTATTTAGTAAATCTGTTGTTCAAGTTTAGATTGGACATAAAATGACAGTACATACTAATTAAGAATAAGGTAACCTGTCAAGACACAGTTGAAATATCTTAACAATTAGATGACACTGTCTGAACTGATTTACTTAAATATATTGCGTATTTAGGAATTAAGGTAAGCAAAAACAGCATCTCTGTAAACAAAATTATAAAGTGACTAGGAGTAATGCCCGTTGTGGGAAGAAATACAACGAGATCTAGAAGGAAGCTCCAGATGAGTGTCCCGACTGTGGCTGGTGGGGCGGCAGAGGGAAGCGGAAAATGGAGGGAGGCAAGCCATGTTTCTTTCCTTCTGCTTAGCTATAAGGCAGGGCTGTATCAAGTCATTTTGCTGCCCCAAGTGGGTAGAATGGGAGGACAGCCTCATGGTAACGGATATGGTTCTCTCCACCTCTGACTTATTTTTTGAAGGGGGTGTTATGCAGTGGCAGCTAAGGTAGAAAAGCACCTCCTCCTGTGCCATGTTTTCTGGGTTCCAAGGGTCTGGAAAGTAGTTCCATAGCTGATTACACGGTTGCCAACTCTGGGTTGGGAAATACCTGTAGATTTGAGGGGTAGAGCCTGAGGAGGGCAGGATTTTGGGTGGGGAGGGACCTCAGCAGGGTATAATGCTATAGAATCCACTGCCCAAAGCAGCCATTGTCTCCAAGAGAACTGATCTTGGTCATCTGGACATCAGTTTTAATAGCTGGAGATCTCCAGGTGCCGTCTGGAGGTTGGCTTATGTTAATTTGGGGCTATGCAGTGGCAGCTAAGGTAGAAAAGCACCTCCTCCTGTGCCACGTTTTCTGGGTTCCAAGGGTCTGGAAAGTGGTTCCATAGCCAATTACACGGTTGCCAACTCTGGGTTGGGAAATACCTGTAGATTTGAGGGGTAGTGCCTGGGGAGGGCAGGATTTTGGGTGGGGAGGGACCTCAGCAGGGTATAATGCCATAGAATCTACCGCCCAAAGCAGCCATTGTCTCCAAGAGAACTGATCTGGGTCATCTGGACATCAGTTTTAATAGTTGAAGCCCTGACTGCTACGTCACATTGGCTGTCGTACAGGGGCCATATCAGCAGGATATAAGGACACAGAATCCACCATTTTCTCCAGGGGAACTGATCTCTGCCATCTGGAAAGCAGTTGTAATTCTGAGTGATCTTCAGCCCTCACCTGGAGATCTGCAACCATGGTTTCCCCCCACAGACACTAAGGGGAAATTTATTTTACCTCAGAACATCAACAGCAAACTGTTTAGAATGTTAGAGGGAAAGGCCAGTGAAGCCGTATATGCAAACGACCTCTGTGTTCCGAGGCAAAGGCGAATCAGGCCACATATGCAAATGACCTCTGTGTTCTGACTGGCTGTGGAGGGGAGAGGAACAGCAAACCGTTTAGAATGTTGGAGGCAGGACTCAGGCAAAGCAGCCACTGGATAGGAAGACCCTCTGAATGACAGACCAGAGAGTGAACTGATTTTGGAGCGTGTTGGAATGTTCAGGGGAGTCCATGACCAAAATAGAATTATATATACCGGAGGATTGCAGCTGAAATAAGAAATAAGATCAGTCATGGAAAACCTTTAAACTCTCTTCGCTAGGTCAAATAAATGCGGTAAAGATGTCAATAACATAAAAGATTACCTATATATTATGTCAATTACAGTTCCACAAAAAACACTTAATGGATGGCAAAAATATATAAATGGTTTTGTTTGAGAAAATAAGAAACCAATAGTTAAATCATGAGTAGCTCAAAAGAAACAAACTGATGGAGGTCTTGGCAGGCATAATCTGAAATTATGTTATGACTCAGCAAGACTTGCTTGGATTGCTAAATGGGTAAAAAATAACTATGATACTTCTGAATCTGCCATAGAACATTCATATGTAAATATGCCATTAAAAACATGTGTTATGGGCTAGTAATCCCATTAGAAAGCATTTTATGGGCATGGCAATTTTGTAATAAATAGCTTATTGTCTGTTTAGGACATATACAAAAAAAGCTTCCAGCTGGAATTTCTGTTTATACTTCAGCAGTGAAAGAATCGGATTAGATTTAGAACTTTTGTTTAAATTCTCTTGAGATATGGGGAATGTTTAATTTAGATATATATGTTAGTCTCCTTGTTGGTAGGACAGTCATTTCTTATGATGTGGTTTCCAGAGTGAACAATCAATTACTGAAACTTTTTGAATATTTACAACTCACGAGCTTTTTGATAACAAAACGGAGAAAACGTTAAACTATGAAGAATTTAACAAAGTTTAGGGTTACCGACCGAAGAACAAGAGCATATTTTCTGCCAAATGTTTTGCTATTCTATCCAATAGACAGACAGACAGATAGATGGATGGATGTAGTAAACAGAATTGTCAATTGAAATCGGAAAAAGACCTTGGATGTGATGTACTTCATGAGGCATGGTGATTTGCATTTAAACAGGGGTGTAATCTTACTGTCTCACTCGTATTTAAGGAAAATTTACTAAAAATGTTGCATCAATGGCATTTATTCCCCCCCCCCCCCAAAGTTAGCAAACAGAGCAATCCTGAGGGTCGGGCGAATGAGAACATGGAGCTGACTAACCTCAACTTGTGTAAGTTGGAGATACACCAGAGTAAGGGGGAGTTATGCCATCACCAGCCACAAGTGGGGCTGCACTGTGCGGCCATGTTGGTGCACCTGCCCTGTGGCTGCACGCTGGTGGCTGAGCAGCTCAAACCCCCAGGCTGGTGCAAATGTGGATGTGCCAAGGTGCAGTCCCAAGTCAGTCAACTCCCTAAGCATTTCCAGCTGGGGAATGCCCCCCCCAAACACAGGCAAAGTTGCACTGACGCCCCCAGGGTGGACTGGCCTCCCCAGACTTCCAGTGGGGGAGAGCAGGCCAGGTTGCCATGGACATACTCGGCCTTCCGTGGGGAGCAAGCCCAGGGAATCTCCCCTTCCCAGCATCCTTTCCCCTGCAGGACACTGAGCTCCTCAGTCTGGAGGGGGCCTGCAATTCCAAGGGAGCCCCAGGTCCCACTCGGAGGATGGCAACCCAAGTGGCTCCCCTCCCGAATGGCACCACCTGTGGGGCTGTCATCAGTGCAGGTCTCTTTCAGGGGATGGGACAACAGGAGAGAATGGGACTGCCCTTCTCTGCCCCCTAACAGTGACATGGACCAGACTCTGTCCCCTTGACTCACCATTCCCATTGGCCCACACTGCCCTGCCCCTCATGCCACTCCCACCTCGTAACAATTCAGTGAGGCCATGCCGGGGCGGAATCACCATGAACACACCAGCATGCCAGCAACCAGCAACACCGTTGGGACGCCTTCTCCCCCACTCAGCTGCCATGTAACTAGTTGGCCCTTAGGGAGCCAACTAGGGGCAGCACAGCAGTGTCACAGCTGGCTGCTGCAGCACTGGCACAGCTCAGGATTGCTCTGAACGATATTGAAGAACTCAACTAGTTCGTGTTGGCATTTAGCTCTTTAAAAGCGAATGTTTTTCCCTATGTGGTGGACAGGGTTGCCAGCTCCAAGTTGGGAAATATCTGGAGCCTTTGGGGTGAAGCCGGAGGAGGGCGGGGTTTGGGGAGGGGAGGGACTTCAATGGGGTGAGATGCCATGGATTCCAAAGTGGCCATTTTCTCCAGGGGAACTGATCTCTGTCGCCTGGAGATCTGTTGCAATCCCAGGAGACCTCCAGCCACCACCTGGAGGTTGGCATCTCTAGGGCTGGACACATCCAAGAGCTATGCATTTTCGGCATCTAGTCGTAAATGCAATGAAATCTAGTTTAAGGATGGATTTCCCATTTGCAGTTGAAACCTCATTACTAAATTTCATGCCTATGTTTCCTAAGTATCTGCATAGCGTTATTCTACATTTAATAACGGCAGCAAGAATAGCTTTTGCAAGGCATCGGAAGCAGGAAACAGTACCTAAAATTCAAGAGTGGACTGATAAATGTAAAGAAATATATGAAAGGATCAAAGTTAGCAGCACTTGGAAACAGGAAGGATGTAAAAGAAATATATGAAAGGATCAAAGTTAGCAGCTTGAATCAGATTGAATCAATATGGCATCTAATCATTCAGAAACTGAGTGAATCTGCCGATTAGGTATATTTTCTTCTTGTATGGATTTATGCTTTTATTTGAATTATAATTAATTGAATTTGGATTATGATTCATTGCATTATTAATTGTGTAATTATTTGAATTATATTTGAATTGAATTGATTGTAAATATGAAATAATAAAAAAATTGAACAGAAGACATTGTATGAAGTGCCAACTTACCGACAAGAGATTCTATCTCTACCCTGTACACAGTTGCATGCCTCTGAAGATGCCACTGGACGCAGATGCTTGTCATGCGGACCTGATAAGCCCCCAGATTTGTCACTCCCAAGTATACTGCAACAAAGGAAACAGGTTAACACTTCTGTCCATTTGTCCCACTATAAATCAAAATGCTATTAAACAATGAAGCATGTGTATTCTAAAAAGGTAGCCAAGTGGGCCCAAAGCCTAGGAAACTCAATGTGACCTTTGACCATTTATCTTCTACGTTCACACGTTCATTGAGGTTTGTGCGATCTTGCCTCAACAACCCTCCCATGAATCCCAGCTCACGAACTATGACTCAGGCAATTTAGTAGTGAACTTTGGGTTGTGGGCAGGTTTGTGCCCATCCCTAGTCTTTACGCACTGGGTTTCAGCTTCCACAACCCTGATGGCGTGTTTTCACATATGATGGTAAGAGCATTATTTGAAATGAGTGGCACTTCATATAGATCGAAAGAGCCATGTTGAACAAGTAACAGGTTTAAAAGCACTGGATCTTCTATTTTCTGTACCAACAAATAACATGTGTAAGAAGTGACACACCGGAGATTAAATTTTATGTCATTTGTGAACATACTCGAGTACCTTCTTCACAGTAGGCAAAAATATTTCCGTTAAGAAACAACAGGAGAAATTTTCCTCATCTGAAATTCTGTTAATTGTATAATTTATTTATTAAGATGCATTTATTAAAAACACATTTATACTGCTTTTCTTCGTAGAAACCACAAACTCAAAGCGGTTCCTGTTGAAATATGATCCATGGAGATCAGAAGGTAGACAACAAGAAATCATGCTGTTCTTACATGTTTTGGCTACACCCGCCAAAGCGTCGCTGAATCCCGTTGAGTATGAAGCAAATACTTTAATGCTGTATTCAGTTCCACTTAATAAATTCAAAATAAGAATGGTGTTGATATCATCGCCCACAAAGGTCTCTAGGGCTGGCCCAGGGACTGAAAGGAGAAAGGAATACAACTCACTAAACGAGTGATCTCCATAGATTATTGGTGCCGCTATCTGAAACACTGGAAATCTGTAGAGGCGTACATTAACCTGAACATGCAAACTCGAGAAATCAATTTGGATTGAGTTTGTGGTGTTGGGGCACAGGAGGGAAGCTTTTCCCTTGTGCAATTTCACTCGCAAAAATGCCCCCAAACCATTATTAGCTCTGGATTTAAAACACACGCATACACACGCATACTAAACAGACCTGTTGGGACTGAAAGCAGAACAGGAAGACTGATTCCCATTTGGGCAGGGAGCAAGAGAAATGGCTTCAACATCCCTCTTCCGCTGCAAATTAGGACACCGCCAATCATCCTTCCAGGGGCTGTTTGGTGTAGTGGTTAAGTGCGCGGACTCTAATCTGGGAGAACCGGGTTTGATTCCCCACTCCTCCACTGGCACCTGGCTGGATGAACTTGGGGAAGCCGTAGTTCTGATAAGAGCTGTTCTTGAAAAAAGAGCAGTTTCTGTCAGAGCTCTCTCAGCCCCACCTACCTCACAGGGTGTCTGTTGTGGGGAGGGGAAGGGAAAGGAGTTTGTAAGCTGCTCTGAGACACCTTTGGGTAGTGAAGGGCGGGGTATAAATCCAATCTCTTCTTCTTATGATTCAAGTAAATTTTGAGAGATTTTGGTCACGTATCCCCAACATAGCATGCAGGTGGACTCATATGCTTGGATCCTATGAACAAGTTCCGTGTGTGCTAGATAATCATTCCTGTGGAGCACACTTCCTCTTCCACTAAAACTTCCATTTGGATGGGGGCTCATTGAAAACCACTGATCTTGTGCAGACACAAATTTTAGCAGAAAAGGAAGTGTGCTTGATAGTAGAGAGTATCTAGCATGCACATAACTCATTTATAGGATCCAAGCCATAGTCTTAATGAACAGTCCATTTCAGTATGATTACAAAAAAAAAAGATGATACCCATACCATCTCTGCTGCTTGTTGGGTTTGTAACCGGCCCACACTGAAGGCTTGGGAAGGGTAACAACACTGTGATAAACATTTTAAAAGTAACTTGTTGCAACACCATCTTGCACACACGTCCACAAACCTTAGTAGCCACCAGGGAATAACTTTACCAGTCCATCTGCCCATTCAACAAACAATAGAGTCTTCCTCCATCACAAGGGGCCTTCTCCCAGTGCAAGCTCCAGGAGAAGAGACATGTGGAAGGCTCCACGAACCTCTAGGAGGTTCACAGTTAGCAGAACTAGTTAGCAGAACCTGCAGGTCCAATTCATAACTGTAGCACAGCAACCAACTCTTCTCATTTTGCAAAACACAGGGTTGGATCCAGCAATCCATCAGATGGAGGTGCCAACAGTCACAAATCTGTCCCACTTTGGGTGATTTCCCACAAGCACTGCTCCGCGCTCACTCCTCCCTTTTGCCCCGATGGTACGTGTCAATTTCACACAAGCTGCTGCGCAGCCGCATTTTGCCCTGCAGCTTCGTGCGATTTCCCCCACATCTACTCAATCCTCAAAAAACAGGATTGAGTAGACGCGGGGGAAATCAGACGAAGCTGCAGGGCAAAATGCTGTCACGCAGCAGCTCGTGTGAAATTAACACGTACATCAGGCCAAAGAGAAAAGTGAGCACGGAGCAGCGCTTGTGGGAAATCACCCTTTCTCTCCTTTGCATCAGTCCCAACCACAGAAAAGTTGATTTCCGCGGTCATGGGGCCCATGTGGCGCCATGAGACTTATAGGGCAACAGTAAGGGGAAAGGGAGTGAAATAGCCTTTCCTGCCCTTTCCCT